CGCGAGCCGGAGACCCAGAGAGGACCCGCGAGGCCAGACGCATGCGGCAGATGCACGTAGCCCCGGCAAGGCGCGCTCAGCACACACCCCAGCAGTTAGTCCCTCGCAGCTATGGCGCCCCGGCCCGAGGCCGTGGGTGCCCATCGCGGACCGACCCCAGATGGCAGGCGAGCCCTCCGCGTGGCCGCGGCCATCACCCGCACGGGGCCGGGCCGGCTTCTGGGCACGGGCACCCAGGCCTACAGCGCAAGGCGAGCCCCAGCCGGCCAGGCCCGATGGGAGAGGGGCGGGGGCTGAGCCAGGGCCCCGGCAAGGCCGGGCCAGAGGCAGCCGCGCGCTGGCGTCCTTCCAAGCGCACCGTCCGGAGCTGCCGGCACAGAGCACGACGGGGCACTGGGCGGCCTCCTGGGCAGCCTCCGCCGCCGAGCTCCAGGAAGGGCAGCGGGCCGGGCTTGCGGGGGCTGGTGCCCGCCCTGCCTCGGAGCAACGGCAACTCGCAGGGTGGCGGGAGCCGATGTGATCCCAGCGCCGCTGAGAGCCCCAGACCCGCAACCCCACACTGAGACGTGGCCGACCAGGGCCCCAAGGCCCCTCGTTCTCGCGGGTCGGGGCAGCGGGAAAGTGCGGCTGAAACAGCCGGGGCTTGGGGCTGAAAGCAGCTGCCCCGCTCAGCCCTCCCGGGCTGCAGCAAGTCGCCCGCAGGGCCTGCCGGCTGGCAGAGGAGCCCCCGGGGTCAGGGCGGGCGGGCTTGACCCGAAGTCACGTCCTGCGGTCACGGCCGTCCCGGGGCCACGGCCGTCTAGACGAAGCCTCGGGGGCTGGCCGCCGCAGGGGCCAGCAGACTACTGTGCTGGCCGGTGGGTAGGACTTGGCGTGGGTTATTTAGAAGAGACCCCCCCCAAAAATTTCAATTTCCTCACCTGCTGCAGCGTTGTACACTGCACAGAACTAGTGAACTAAGGTCTTAAAGATTTACTGACGCACTTCAGAGCCGGGGCGCAGGCCAGAGGTGTGTGGGGGAGAGAGGATGCCCCAGAGACGGAGCGGGAGCAGGACAGGCGGGTCCAAGGAGACCCACCGCTGCGGGGGCCAGGTGGGTCTGCAGCCCTGGGGCCCCTCCCTGGCTGGGGACGGCCTCGGGCTGCCAAGGCCAGCTTCACAGTGCTGAGACGGACCCCTGGGCCCCGGGAGGGCCCGAGATCAATCCTGGAACTGACCTGCCTGCTTAGTCGCCTTGCTCCAAAAGGCACCTTTTGACAGGGGCCGCTCGATTCACCTGCTTTTACCAAGAAAACCCAGAAAGCAGCAGCCTCACCGGGGCCAGCACCAGGGCCATCGTCTCAGCACTGGGTCCGACAGCAAAGAGCACAGGGCAGCTGGGGAGAGCCCAGCGTGCCCCAGGCACCCACCCCAGGTCTCCCCTCCTTGGCACGCCCGAGGCTGGAGGGGAAGCCCTGCAGGGCCCGGGAGCCCGGAACTACGAGCCCGAGGCGGGGGGCCGGTCTGCAGCTGCTCGCAGAGAGGTCCACGCCGGGGGCTCTCTGGCGCCCACGGGCCCGCGCCAGCGCTGGCGGGGCCCCGGGGGCTACGCTCCACACCCGGCCTAGCTGGGGCCTAAACTGGGTGTTTGGATGAACACGGGGAGGAAGAAGAGCAGCTACGCGGTGGCACCAGCAGACGCTCTCCCGACACAGCACACTGACAACCGCAGAGCCCTCCAGCTCACCGCCGGCTGGGCCCGCGCGGCAGGCACCTGGGGCGACCCAGCAGCGGGCCCTGGCCAGCAGTGGGGGCGCCGAGCCCGAGCCCGAGGCCGAGGCCGGAAGCCCTCTGTTTGCAGGGGCCGGGGCGGGGCTCAGTCCTGGCGGGCAGCCAGGCACTCTAGCCAGCGGCCGCCTCGCCTGGGGGGTCCACTGAAACTAGGAGGCGCTGTGAGCAACGTGAAGGTGAGCCCCCACAGATTCTTTTTTCCATTTTGGCAAAACTCCTTTAAAGGTAAGCCAGACATCTGCCAGCACGTCACACGAGTGGACTGGGGGCTCAGTCACCACACACAGTGTGTCCGGGATTCAACTGCAGCTGCCCTGAAAGCCACATGCACAGGAATAGTAAGGCCAGGCGGTGCAGTGAGTAAGCGCTGCGGTCTGTGCGTCTGTGTTAACGGGTGTCCACACAGTGGGGCCTCTTACATTCTCAGGATCTTCAGAAATCTGGCTCTTTTGCTAACAGTGAAAAAATAAAAAAAATTAAAACAGCAACAGACCCAACTGAAGTCCCAGCAAGTGTCAGGGTTTCAGAACAGCCTCGACTGGCACAGCAAGTCGACCACACGGACAGACGCGTCCAGGACGGTGCCACGCCCTGCACCACGGCCGTGCTGCACAGGGTACGGGGAGGAGACGGGCTGGCGAACGAGACCCCAGGTGCCGGGGACGGGTGAGAACGACAGACGCCAGGAAGGGAGGGTGAGGTGGATGAGATGAGTGAGGACGACAGCAGGAGTCACTGTCAGCCGCCAACTCCGGGCCACCTGTAGCCAGGGCCCAGAGCACGCTGACGGCTGTGCATCTGCTTTCAAAGTGACACCAGCTCCGCTTGGTGGGGCCCTGGGAACTCAAGCTGCTGCGAGCGACGTTGGTGTGGCAAAACGCATGTTCTGAGGCAGCACCGACAGGCGCGACTTTTACTGAAACCCCACAACATTCAAAAATTGCAGTAACGCACATGTGTCATCTATCTGACAGTGGTCGAAGAGCATCAAAAGCACCTAGCTCTGGTGTCTGCTGAAAAACGCTGCAGGGCGTGAGGGGGCCGAGCCGCCTAGGCCCGCAGCAGCCTCTGGGCCGAGGGCCCATGGCACCAGGGGGCAGCTGTAGCGGGAACCGCCGTTCCGGCCGGCAACGCCTGCTCCACGCTCAATCCCCGGCCACACGCCTGCCTCGCGCACGGGGCGGGAAAGCATCTCTGCCTTCAGCGCGGGTGAAGCTCAGATAAAGCCGAGGCCCCGCTGGGGTGCAACAGGACGCGTCCTGGCGCGGCCAGCCTGCGAGCAGCACACTGCCAGATTCATGACTAGGTGAGCGCCAGTTCGGGGCTCCCCGTGGGGAAGCCTGAGACAGGGCCATGGGAAGCGCGGCCAGGTGGTCGGCCGGGCAGGCACAGGCGTTGTGGCCACCCCCGCTACTGCGGGGCCCCAGCCCGCGGGCTCGAGCGCTCAGCCGTGTCCACACGCGGCGCCCACCGATGCTTTCCAGAGCTGCAGGGGTTTTACCTCAAGGTCACCTTTAGTGATGGATTCTTCCTCGACCCGGAACTGCAGGTCCTCAACCTTCCTGTGGGATCAGATCAGAAGGAAACACTGAGCCAGGCAGCCAGGGGACGCACCTGCCAGAAACCCAGGCACGTACACGCCTGCGGTGCACTCGGCGGGCGGCAGCGGCAAGAAACGTCTCAGAGGCAGGAAACAAAGACGTCGCCTTGGCCTCAGTGCAGCTCTGCTCGGGGCGCTTGGGGCACACCCCCAGCAGGGCTGAGCCTGGGCTGGCCGGCAGGAAGCACACTGACACCGCAGCACAGGCCTGCACCCCCTTGCAGCGAGCACGGGGCAGCGGCCAGGGAGCACACCCTCTGCCCCCCACACAGGCACCCTGCAGCGTGCTGGAGCCCGGCTGCTGCCTCTGCAGCACACAGCCCCTCCCGGCGCTGCCCGGCCACGGCCATGGGCTGCAGGCAGCCACCTCCCTGGCCATGGGGCTCACGTGGAGGGCAGAGACCTGGGGCCCACACCCTCAGTAGACCAGGCCTGAGAGCGGAAAGGGGGGAGGCGCCACCTACCGCAGCTTCACTTAGTTAAGTCGGAGGTGGGATTGTGGTGAGCCCCGAGCCCGTTCTGGGAGCCGGGGTTGGGGGTGTGACCGCCCAGTGGCCAGCGCAACAGGGTCCTTCGAGAGTGGAAGGAGAAGGGGTGCTGTGCACAGGCCCGGGGGCCCCCCTCGCTCGCGAGGCCAACCTCAGCAGGGCCCCAGGAAGCCTTCGGGGGACATGGGCCCAGACCCCACACTGGCCGCTGAGCAGACACGTCTCCTGGAGGGTTTGCTCATTCGTGTGTCAAGAGACCAGCTTCTAGGAAACCGGATTCACTCCCTCCGAGGCAATCAGCAGGCTGGCTGCACGCCGCTGGGACAGAACCTCACAGCCGCCCTGACGGCCCTGTGTGCCGGCGGGGTGCAGGGGGCCCCGTACTGCAGCGTGCTCGGCACGTGGGTGGTGTCCAGGTGCCCCTGGCAGCCTGCCGGGGTCTCGAGGAACCGCCCTGGCTGGCAACTGCCACATCAAGGCCGTGTCCAGGCCAGCCCGGTGCGCGGCATTAACCGGGCAGCTCTGGGGCGAACTCGCAGCGTCAGCGGACCCACGCCCGCAGCAGGCGCGGTCAGCACGTTCCAAAGCTGGACACTGGCCAGGCAGTGGTGGGAGCCCCAGGGGGCGGGGGCAGGGGGCTTCACCTCTTCTCCTCCTCGAGCTGGTTGAGCAGCTCCACCTTCTCCCGGTCGGCCGCCTCCACCATCGCCCGCAGCTGGTCCATCTTGGTCTCCAGCTCCAGGACGTGCTGGGGAGGCAAGGGCTGGTGGGCGCCTCTTTCCGCAGGGGACTCCCCGGGGCTGGCGTGCCCACACCTCAACAGGTGGCCATCTCCCTGAGAACTGGCTTGCAGCACCCCGGAAGCCGGACAACAGCAACGCCGCCGAGGCGCAGCAGATGGGGCGACGCCAGGGAGCCCCACTCCGTCTCAAGGCGCCAGCCCTGGCTGGTGCCATCGTTCCCCTCGCCCAGAGATCATCACCGTCTGTGCCGCCAGGGCGGCGCCCAGACCTCACCTGGTCGTGTCCGTCCCGGGCCAGTGCTAGCTCTTGCTCCACCTCCCCGACGTGGCTCGTGGCCCTGGCCACCTCCGCCCTCTCCAGGTCCCGCTCGGCCAGCAGCTGCTCGATGTGCTGCTGCTTTTCCTTCAGGGCCTCCTGCAGGGCCGTGGTGCCAGAGATCTTCCGGGCGTAGCGGGAGGAGGTTTCGGTCAGCTGCAGAGGGAAGGCAAAGCGTGGGGGGCGGAGGCGGGCAAGGCGCGAGGCGGCGGCTGCTGGAGGCGGGCACGGCCAGCCGCGCTCCCATAGAGCCAGCCGCCGGCACATGGCGCCGGCAGCACGGCTGCGGGGCGGTCCCAGCAGTCAGGCGTCCGGGGAGGGCGGGCAGCTCAGGCCGCCGCTCAGTGCCGAGCCCTGAGGCCCGAGGCCACAGCTCTCCAGGGACCCGCTCCGCAGCCCTTGGGGCCACAAGCCCGCCTTCTACCCGACCGGAGACCTCTGCTGGGGCTTCCTTCGTCCTCCCCTCAGGAGCCACGGCGGAGGCGGCGTCCCCCGGCAAGCCGGTCTCGTCTGAGCCCGGGCCAGCGGTCCCGCAGGCCACGGAGCCACGTCCATCTGCAGAAGCGCGGCTGCGCCCGCGTGTGCAGGGGGTGCCCATGCCGAAGCCCCCCCAGCAGAGTGGGGCTAAACGCCCCTCGCCCCCGCCCCCGTCCCCTCCCGATCAGCCCTGATGGCACCCTGCAGCCAGGGAGAGGAGGGGGTCCGGTCCGCAGCCAAGCGAGGACTTACGAGGCCTGTGCGGCTGGGCTTGCTGCTCACAGAGGAGGCCACAGAGCTCACAGAGCTGAGCGAGGAGGCGGACGGGCTGCGCTTCAGGCCAGCGGGCCTGGCAGCCATCACACGGCGCACGGCAGCGGCCTTGGCCTTGGCCGGCGTGGTGGACGGGAAGCCGATCCTGGTGACCTTGTGCACAGGCGCGAACAGGCCATAGTTGGGCTGGCACTGGAAGTACCTTTGGCACGGACAGCAGCAGAGGGGTCAGGCACTAGCCGCCCCCCAACCCCCACCCAGGGCGCAGGGGTGCTGGAGCTGCCGCGGCCGGGCCAGGCAGGGCCCCCGCGCTCCAGGCACCTGACACCAGCAGCCGGCCTTTCTGCACCCCGCGTGGGCGCTGGGGACCCGACGCCTCGGGGACAGGGGAGCTGCCCGCCGGCCGGCAGACGCCCCAGTGGGCGGCGTGGCCCCATGGTGGGCTGGCAGGTCAGGAAGCGGCGGCCGCCAGGAGCCCTGCGAGCGAGGCCCCGGCTGGCACGCAAAGGGCGCCGAGAGGCCGCTGCCACGCAGAAACGTGCCAAGAGCCGGGCGCGCCGCCAGACATGGGCCGTTCTCAACGCCGAGCGCCGGCTGGCAGAGGGCCGGCCACCCGCCCGCAGCACCGCGCCCACGCACCTGGTCCCGGCCACCGCCCCATCGTTCTTCCCGAGCGGCTCGTCCAGCTCCACGCCACACCACTCGCCCTTGGCGAAGTCGGTCTCCCCGAGGAAGCGCACGACGCCGGCCTTCGTGCCGCCGACCTGGAGCGGGGAGAAGGCAGCTGGCAGGTCTCCACCCGCGCCCGCACCTCCAGGCCCTGCCGCTCGGCAAGGTGCACCTGCTGGCGATGTGGGCGCGCCACACCCAGGCCCTGGGGCACAGCCTCGCCCGCCAGCCCGGCGGGGTCATCGGTGGAGCAAGGGCGTCCTTGGCCAGCCCCTCAGGCTGCACCCGGACTTCCTGTGGTCCTCATTCTCTGCCTGCGCATGGGCCCCTCTTCCCAGCCTGTGCAGACTCCCGCGCACTGGGCGCGGCCCAGTTTTAGGTCAGCTTCTCTAGTCCAGGCCCTGCCACTATCCGCTTTGTTTAACCCTTTCTGAGGAACAAAAATGGTGACGCCTTCGGTTCCCCTCTTCCCTGAGGGGAGAGACATCTTGTGAAAGTGATTCCAGGAGCCCAAGGAGTACCAGTTTCAGGTGCTGGGGCGAGAAGGTATACTGGGGGGCTAGCAGCCCCCCCAATCCTGGCAACCCTGGGTTCCAGCTGGCACAGGGAGCCTGTGGGCACAGCAGCCACCAGCCAGGCAGCCCCAGCCAGTGCTCACAGGCCTGCTGCCCGCGTCCGGGGCCCTCTCTGCCAGCACCGCCCAAGCGCGCCACCTGGCGGGGCCAGCTGGCCCCAGCTGGCGGGCTGCAGGCTGTCCCCACCTGGCCTTCTTCACGAAGACTGCTGTGAGGAGGGCCCATGGTGCAAGTAACGCCAGCTCAGAGTGCCCCGAGCTTGGTCCTGGCCAGGCTGGCGGAGTGACATGCTGACCCCGCCGTCCGGCACCGTGCCTGTCTCCCCCTTCGGAGAGCAGGGTTCTGGAGTGTGCCAGGAAACCACAGGCAGTTTGGGCCACTGAAGGGCTTTGGTTTTGGGTTTTGTTTTAGCTTCTAAGATCCCCCCCCTTTTTTTTTAATTTATTAATTTATGCACCTACACACAGGGTTGCCCACATTAAGGCAATGTTTATTCCCCTCCCTCCATTTATTACGGTCTCTGGGATGCCTCTGGTTTATAACGGTCTGTTTTTGTTGTGCTCTGTTATGTTTTGTATTGTTAATAACAACACATTTTTTTCTGTACATCATCTTCGGTTCCCTACACTCCTCCTGCAAGAGAAACCACTCAGGACTTTTCCTTTTCCTACTGACTTATCTCACAGAGCACGATCCCTCCAGCCCCACCCATGATCCTGTGAACAGCACGAGCTGCTCTCTTGTTGAGTGGTATTCCGCAGTGTGGACAGACCACATTTACTTGAGCCAGTCATCTAATTTTGGGCATTTGGATTGTTTCCAAGTTTTTCTTACAGTTAATAGAGCAGCAATAAACAGGGGTGCAGGTATCCTTTCGAAGTAATGTTTCTGTGCCCTTGGCTAGACCCCTAGGTGTGGAATTGCTGGGTTACATGGGAGCTCCATGTTTAGTCATCCGAGGAGCCTCCACACAGCTCTCCATGGTGGCTGGACCAGCTTGCACTCCCGGCGGCAGTGTAGGAGCCATATATAGGCAGACTCACAGCCAATAATGTTCTCACCAGTAAAAAGCTGAAGGCCCTTCCAATTACATCAGGAACAAGACAAAGATGTCCACTCTGACCACTGCTCTTCAATATAACAGTGGAAACCAGACCAATAACGCAAGAGAAAGTCATAGAGAGAGTTCAAACAGAGAAAGAAGTAAAACTATCACTATTTCCAATGACATGATAATAGATAAGAGAAACTTAAAAACTCCACAGAACTACTCAAAATAATCAACCTTTTCTGCAAAGTAGCAGGATATAAACTCAACACACCAAAATCAGTAGCATTCCTAAACACAATCAATCTGCAGAACAAAGTCAAGAGAATCATCCCTTTTAAAACTGAAACAAAAAATAAAATCAAATACTTGGAGAAATCTTACAAAAGAGGTGAAAAACCCATACAAAGAAAATTATAAAACACCATTAAAAGAAATAGAAGAAAACACAAAGAGATGGGAAAATAACCCATGTTCATGGATTGAAAGAATTAACATTATTAAAGTGGCCATCTCACTGAAAGCAATTTATAGAGCCAGTGCTATTTCAATGAAAGTATCAATGACATTCTTCAGAGAAATAGGACAAATACTGATGAAATTCACATAGAACCACAGAAAATCGAGACTAGCCAAAGCCTTACTCCTGAAAACAAAGGAGAATAGAGGCATCACACTTCCAGACTTCAAACTATTCTACAAAGCCACACTAATTAAAACAGTGTGGTACCAGAACAAGAGAGACACACAAACCGCTGGACCCGAACAGAGAAACTAGAAATAAACCCACACCTATATGGACAATGAGTCTTTGACAAAGGAGCAAAGAATATGCAATGGAACAAGGACCCTTTGTTTAACAAATGGTGCTGGGAAAACTGGACTAACACAGGCAAAAGAAAGAACCTAGACCACAACCTCACACCACGCACAAAAATCAAATCAAAATGAATAAGAGATTTGGTCATAAGACCTGAAACCCTAAAATATATAGAAGAAAATATAGAGCTTGGCTTTTTTTTTTTTTTTTTTTTATATCTATAGGAGTGTAGTTTGGCATTTACATGGCTGCCAGAGTCCGCTGTACTGTTTCCCCTCACGCCGCTGTTCATGACTGTGCCCTTTCCAATTTTTCGTCTCAGGCCCAGTCCACACAGCTCCCCCATCCAGCACCAGGGCCTTGCTCAGACTGCAGCTGGGGTTTGCCTGCCAGTCGTGCCTTTTTTCTGACTCTCTATGGTCCCCTGCATTGCACCTGTGAGCAAGGCCAGATGACAGCTTTCCTTCTCTGTGGACTTGCACATTCACGGGGTCGACAGTCACCAACAGAGAAGACCAGCTACTCTCAAGCCCCACACCCACCTCAATGCGGGGCCTGTTTGATCAAGGTCAGGCAAGGAGCCTTGGGGAAAGAGGAGCCAGCCTTCAGCACCGGCTGACAAGATGGGCCACGCGGCCCACCGGCACTCGGAAATGTATGGATCGACCCCCAGTAACCGTCATCGAGCATCAGCTCCATTAGGACCTGATCAATCAACCAAAGCTTTCTGGAAGTAGGAAAATGACCACTTCCCATCTTCACAGGGCCGTGCCATCAGGGACGCCCTCGCTCTCCCCACCGGGTATCTGGTCCTGCCACCCCCGTCCAGGCAGAAGCTCTCTGGACAGTCCTGTATAATCCAAAGGACACTCCCCCGCCCGGGCCCCACCCCAGGCAGCATCATCCAGCTGCCCAGCTGCACCCCTGCCTCCCTCTCCAGGAGTCTGCCACCCTTCCACTCCCCTGCCAGGGCCAGGGCCAGAACCAGAACCAGGCCAGAGCCTGAATTAAAACCAGAACCATGCCCTCCCTGGTGGTGCAGCAGGTCAGGACGCAGCACTGCAAGCCGGCCGCAGCTGCTTCAGTAGGAGTTTGATCCCCGGCCCCGGAGGTGACTCAAATGGCACAGCAGACCTCTCCTGTCTCCCCAACTTGCTCCCCTCAGCAGTGACCTCGTCCATCGGCCTGTTCTGCTCCCCACCCTGCCTCTGGGAACCCTCTCACCACCCCTGCACCTCAGCTCTGTAATGCATAAGCCTTTAAAAAAAAAAAAAAAAAACAGAACCGGGGCCAGAGGCAGAGCCAGAACTACAACAAGAACCAGGGCCGGAACCAGAATCAAGACCAGGGCCAGGGCCAGAACTGGCGCCAGGGTCAGGGCACTCTCTCTCACCACCACCGTTTCTGCCCAGACGCCCTGCCCTCCTCGGACCCAGCGTCAGCCTCACGTCCTCACAGACATCTTCTGGCACGAGCCAGCCCACTGAGGCCTCGTTTTGTGTCCGTGGCCAGACAACACATCGCAGCCGCAGTCCACGTTTGGGTCCACTTTTCTCCCTGTGGCGGCGGGGACAGAGGGTGTCTTGCTTTGAACGTGGCCCTCTGTGGCCGCTGCAGGGAGGGGTGTGGGATGGCACAGCCGCCGGCCTCAGGCCACAGAGGGTGCTGTCGTATGCTAGGGCCGCCTCCCGGCCACGCCACGCCCCACACTGGCCACCCCTCTGGCCAGTGGCCCCACGCGCTCTGAAGCACATGCACAGCAAGTTACTTCTGCAGGACAGGAGTCGGCGTGTCTGCTCAAAGCTGGCACAGAAAGGGCGTCCACAGGCAGAGACCACAGAAAGCTCGCGCTGAGCCGTCGCCCGACACGCATGGCCACAGCTGCAGAGGGTGGGGCCCTCTCAGGCGACGGGCTGCAGGATGGGACACACCAGTCCAGCTCTCGCCTGGGGCCCGCGCTGGCAGCCGGGGGTGGCCTGGTTCCTGGGCCGGAGGTTTCCCCTTGGTGAGACCACAGCATCATGGACAGCCCATGCCGGGCACCGGGGGGACAGCACCTGTCTGACCTGCAGACCCCTCCGCAGCGGCCTGGTGACAGGGAAGGCTCAGGCCCCAGCCGCCCGCCCGCCCTGTGTCACCACGGGCCCAGCCCCTACTGGCCTCCAGTGCGGGCGCGGGGCGCAGGCGCTTCTGACAAGGCTCGAGCCGTGAGCCGTGCTGGCCAGAGGGGGCGGGCACAGCTTTTATGGTCAGCACTGGCCGAGCGGTCGCCGTCCCGAGCACTCACCACACCCCCAGAGCGACGCCGCACGCCTCGCGCCCGCCTGCCTCGTCTTTCTCGTGCCCCCGCTAGAAGCGGCACCGGCAGCCGTCCCGCAGGGGACCCGGGGCCGCCGGCGCTGTCTCCCTGGACCCCGCGGCAGTCCACAGCTGCCGCCCGGCTCAGCTCACGGCCGGGCGGCCTGGAGGGCACCAAGGCGGGCACACACCTCTGGGCCGCGGCCAGGGGCAGGCGCCGTGTTGTGTGCGGCCGGCACGAGCCCGACCGACAAGCCACGCTCCCGTGGCCAGGGAACAGCAGCGGCAGCGCCTGCTGCTCCCACAAGCGCCGCTCAGAGGCCCCGGAGCCGCTGCCGCCCTGGGGCGCAGGAGGCATGAGGAGCAGCTTGGGCAGCAGAGCCAGGCACCTGCAGACAGCCGCGGGCCTTCCAGCAAGGACAGCGACCCTCCTCCTCAGGGGTGGCCGCTCACTTTCCTTCCAGCCGCCAGCAGGGTCGGGCAAGGGCCAGGGCACAGCCCCTGAGCCCCCAGCGGCCCCTCCCCGCCCCCCCGCGGAGCCAGCCACCCACGCCACGGGCTCTGGACTCACCAACACTCGGTCTCCGATTTTGAGCTCTCGCTCCCCTTTCTTGACCGAGCCCGCCTCGGAGAGGTTGGAGATGGACTCGCTGGCAGTTTTCGTCAGGTTGCTGGCCTGCGTGGAGGCCGCAGGCTCCTTGGCGGGCGGCGGGCCAGGCCTGTGGGGTGTGGCGGCAGGCGTGGCCGGGGAGGGAGCGGGGGCAGGCAGCGGCGACGCCCCCCGGGCTGCCAGGGCAGTGTGAGGGCCGCCGTCCCCGCCGCCGGCCGGGGCCTCCCGGCTGAGCTTCGAGGGCCGGGTAAAGATGCCCCTGGCAGGCCCACACTGGAAGTAGCGCACTCCAGCCACCGAGCCGTCATTCTTGCCGATAGGCTCGTCCAGGACGATCCCGGCCCACTGCCCTGGCGCAAACTGGGTCTCCCCAAGAAACTGGATGAATCCGGGCTTGCTGCCGTTCACCCAGACACGCTCCCCCACGCGGAAGTCGTCCACAAACTCCGCCCGCAGCTCGGCCGCGGCACCCGGCGTGGTGTCACTACACACGGCTTTCTCCCCAGGAGCTGCAACTGCACAGAGCACAGGGTCAGAGCAGGGCGATGCCGGCGGCCATGGCCGCTCCCGAAGCTGTGGCTCCGCCCCTCCCGCCGTCCCCCAGCTGCCGCTGCCGAGCGGCGTCCAGTCCCTTGGCTGGGCCCCAGGGCTGGACGCGCGGGCGCCGCAGGCTGGCACCCGGGAGACACAATGAAGCAGGCGAGCGAGAGGGCGCTCCGTGGCCGGCCAGGGCCGCGAGGGGGGGGGCGCCAGGGGCGCCTGTCTGGCCACCTGCCCGCCCACAGCCCCAGCAGGGAGCGTCAAGTCCCGTGCAGCACAAGGCGGCCGAGGCGGCCGCTGTGCCCGCCCAGAAAGCACGAAGCCCAGCGCTACTCCCGGCTCACGCATCAGGGCAGGGCGGGATGCAGCAGACAGCACCTGCCCACAGGGTGACACCGGACTTCCGCATGCCCCAAGCCCCGAGGGGAAAGGTGCTGGCGACGGCCAGACAGGCAGGGCAAGCGCAGGCCTGCGACTCAGGAAACCCAAGGTCTCCTGACTTCTCCTGGTAGTAGCCAGGACATAAAGTCTGGTGAGATTTGCTGACTTTCAGTCAGTCGTCGCAGAGGGGGTTTACTTGCTGTAAGGAGAAGCATTACCAGCGGCGGGGGGCTTCGGGGCTGCGCCCCCGGGCTTGACGATCTTGCTGGGGGCCTTGAGCCCGCTGGGCTTGGGCGCGCTCATGCCGGCCGAGGGCGTGTCCTGCTCCAGTCCTCCACCAGGCGCTACCTCTCCCCCACCATGGGCACAGCGGTGGGTGCGCCCACCATGAGGCCGGTCTCCGGCGGACCTGCAGAGAGAGGCACAGGGAGATTCAGGCTCCGGAGCAGGGAAGCGACGGCCGCCCCGCCCAGCCCACCCGGCCCCGACAGCGGCCGCCGGCAGACAAGGAAGCCCAGAGCCTCGCGCGGAGACGTGGGGCTGTGCACAATGTCACGGCTACCTGCTCGGGCGCCGGTATCCCGGCCACGGCAGGGACTCGCTGTCCAGCCAGGTGCGTCACACACTGGACCGGAGGGCTCAAACTTTTGAAGAAAAGGCCACGTCCGGGTGGCGACCCAGGACACCTCGCGGCTCCGCAGCGGGCCGGGGTGACTCGGGGTCCGGGCCTCGGCCTCCAGCACGCGCGCGGGGTGCCGCTCCCCTGGGTATTTCGTGGCGCCTGTGGGCAGCCCTCTGCCAGCACTCACGGCCCCATCCGCAGGGAGAGCTCACGGGGGGTGGGGGGCCGGAGCCCCGAGGCCGCATCAGCACGCCAGGCGGGTCGGCTGGGGCCCAAGTGTCTCCCAGGGTGAGAAGGGCCTTGGGCGGGCAGGGCGCACCCCGACCCGCAGCGCCCGCGAAGGGGGGCTCCCTCTCAGCAGCTGCTGTGAGCAGACACGTGAGGGGACCCGACTCGGAGGGTCCGTGGCGGCTCCTCACCGGGAAGTGCAAGTCTCAGGGCGGCAGGCGGCGGCACCTCTGTGGGCACAGGCACGGCGCTGCCACAGGGCGGGGCAGGGGACGCAGGACCAGCTGGGCAGAGGCGCGGCCCAAGGCCGCCTAGCTTGGTGGGGGCCCGAAGCGGCATCGGGCAGGGAGTCTCGGCGCAGCCCGACCAGGTGACCCCACCCCCCGGGAGACAGGGGCAGCGCTGCCCCGGCATGCAGGACCGTGGCGCCCACGGGTGTCCAAGTCTCCGTCCCTCGGACATGCAGGCCCAGGCGCTGCTATCGCAGCTGCGTCCACGGGGCTCTGAGCCCCTCACGCCCAGCCTACCCCGCTCTGCGGGGCTTGGCCGGCGCCGCCACTCGCCACGCATCCAGGTCCGTCCGCCCGTACCCACCACGCCCTCGTTCTCGTCCACCCGTCCGTCCGTCCGTCCATCCATCCCGAGCCGCTCCTGCCCAGCACTATGCAGCAGCCTGAGGTGGCTGACTGACTTGACGCTTCACCTTCGGAAGCTGCGCAGAGGGGCCAGGCGTCGAGCAGCCGTGAGGGGCCGGCTCCCCCTCATGGCGTCCGCGGACCAGGGCGGCGCTCGTCCAGTGGGAGCAGGGCTCCCGTTTCAGGTAGCCAGGCCGTGAGGTCACAATGATGACATCACAGCAGGGCGTGACCTCGCCTGAGGGCACACCGGAGCGTGGTGTCCTGAGCCTCATGCAGCAGGACCCCTCAGCGCGGGCCTCCGGCCGGCGGGCGCTACGTGGCATGGGGGTGCGAGTCTTCACTGCGGCCCCATGTCAGCCGCCTCTCCTCGGGCTCGGGACGGTCCAGCCACATGGAAGAAGCCCGAAGGCCGTGCAGCGCTGGATACACAGGCCCAAGGCGCCACCCTGCCCTGGCCCTCGGCTCCCTCCACCCACCCAGCCTGGTGTGCACTAGCCGCCTTGTCCACCGGCCTCGGCCTCGGCCTCGGCCTCGGGGAGAAGCTGCCCGGCGGCCCAGCTCCCCACACCCCGGGCCTCTGCTGCGGCGAGGCTTTGCTGACTCACGTTAAAGAGGGGCCGCTGCACTGTCCAGCCCAGCGGCAGGCAGCGGAAGGGCCACAAGGCCGCTTGCACCGCGCAGGCCCGCACCTGCCTCTGAGTGCGGCAGCCCACCGGCGGGGCAGCGGCCGGGGGAGTCTTGAGCCTGAGACCCTACACCAGCAGGCGAAGAGCAGAAGGGCAGGACAGCCAGGCGGCCATGGCCTCCCGGTGGGAGGGCGCCACCGCCCTCAGGCCTTTCTGGCCGCTGTCCACTCAGCGTGGAATGAGCGCGGCGTCACAGCGCTCCCACTGCTCTAAACCTGGAGATTCCACAGGATGCAGCAGCTGGTCAGCCCGCGGGGGACAGCTGGGCCACGCTGCCCAGGCGGCCGTGGACCCGGGCAGCACCCAGGCGGGGCTCCCCCCAGCCCTCTGGGCGCCGGCTCTGGGTGGGGAGGGCGGCAGGCGGGGTCTAGCCTGGGCAGCGGCTCCCACAGCCTCGTAGCGCCAGCAGCGCCCTGCTGTGTCACTGCCACCCCACCCCGTTGCAACCGGAGCCCGGCTGGCCTGACGCAACGCTGGCCGCCCGCCCACCCACCCGCCAAGCCCGTTCCAGTTCTGCAGACGGAAGAGACTGGGAAGGAAAGTAAAAGTGGAGAGCGCAGGGCTTCTCCCGTTGCCGAGCAGAAACAGGTTTTCCCGCTTCACATGCAGTGGGCAAGGCCCACGGAGACCTGCCCAGCACCCGCCGCACCCCGCTGGGCCAGCTCGGGGCCCTGGCGGAAGTGGGGTCACGCACGGCCCCCCACACGCCGCCCGGGCAGCACCTCTCAGCTCCTGCATGTCAGGCACAGCACAGCCCCACCCGGCCCCGCCTCAGGGCACAGTGGAGGGGCGGGCCCCCCGTGGTCTCTAGCCCAGCTGAGCCTCACCTCGCTGAATGTCACCCTGGGACCACGTCCCTTATGGCCGGGCACCCACAGGACCTAAAAATGGAACTGGCGCAGTCAGGGCTCAGAAGGGGCTGGAACTGGACGTCCAGGGGCCAGCGGGGCGAGGCCATGCTGCCCAGCGCCCGGCACCCCAGTGTGTGCAGAGCTGCATCGCCGCCTTTCGAGGCACCCCGTCGGCAGAGCCCTCACAGGGGCCGGGCCGGGTGCGCCCATAGGCGAGAAGAGGCGCAGGGGGCAGCGCGGTGCGGAACGGGCACTCCGGGCCCCCAGAACACACCCATGTGGGCTCAGCGAGGACCGATCAAGCTCCCGGAGGCCGGAAGGGAGCTGAGGGCCGGCGCCCCCGCCAGGGTCACCGGGAGCACTGCCCAGGCTGAGGCCGAGGGCCGGCCGCCGGCTCCTGTCTGCCTGACCCAGGACGCCAGACGGGGGAGCTGGGGCCCAGGAAGACGCAGAGAGGGGCCGCGCCCTTGCAGAGTGATCGGGCTGCCCGGGCTGTGCCTGCAACTGTAGGAACTGGGCCCGGGGTGCTGGGCGGGCACCGGGACCCGCCGGTCTGCCCAGGGAGCCAGGCCGCCCCTGCCTCGGGCCTGAAGCCACGAAGGCTGACACTGGCGCTACCTGGGCTGTTAGGGCGGGTCACATGGGGCCACCGCTCCAAGCAGGCGATGACCAGTGACAGGAGGGGAGGGAGCGAGGGGGGCTGGACTGATGCCCCCCGCCACCAACCACTCTCCAGCGGGGCTCCCAGCAGAGTGTGCCCACGGGACCGGCGAAGGACGGGGCCCAGGAGAGGCTACCGGCCGGCCAGCACCCCCAACCTCAGAGGCCCCCGGAGGCCAGCGACGTTCCCAAGTGCAGAGGCCACAGCCCAAACCTGCCCAGAGCCGGGACATGGCCGCCTCAGCCCCCCGCCCCCCAGGAGAGCTGGGGCGCGGCACAGCCAAAGCCCAGTGAAGGACCAGGCCGCCGTCCGCACGCTTCCCTGGGGGCCCAGCAGCGCCAGTCGGGTCAGAAGACCTGAAATGACCGGGCCGCGAGCGCCGCCGGAAGCCGGCAGTGACCGCCAGAGCCGCCAGCTGCATAGACGTGCAGGAGGAAGCAGCCGGGCTCGACTCAGCGGCACAGAGCTGGGTGTCGGAGGCTGCCACAGCCGCGCCACTTCCTCATCTGAGCCAAGAAACTGAAGCCCATGAGGGTCACGGCACTGTCTCTCGGGCCTGTGGCGACTGGGCTGGCCCCACAGGGAGGCCGCCTGCCCACCCCTCCCACCCCTTCTGGCGGTGCGTGCCGCCGCTGACCCTGAGTGCCGAGGCTGCCCCAGTCCTGTGTTTTAGCTCACCAGTGGCCCAAGACAACCGCGCCCCAGAGCCCAGGACAGCGCTGCGCCCCCTAGGGTGCACATCTGCCCACCAGGACACAGGCCCCAGGGCCCACGCGCTGCCCACTCCCAGCCCAGTGCCCGGCTGCAGGGCCCCTCTCAGCACCCACGTTTGCTGCTGGCAGCTTTCCCCCCGGCGCAGGTTCCGCCAGACCCGAGAAAGAATGCAGGAGGTTGGAGGCGCCTGGAGGCAGCTCAGGTCCTGGCACCAGCGGGCCTCTCAGGGAGGGCCCCACGCTGGGCTTCGCATGGCGGCCGGCAGGGCCCCAACGCCACAGGGAGAGAGACGCTTGCCCCACGGTGCTCGCGGGGACCCCCCATTCTGACTGAGAAGAACAGGTCAGCAGTGCAGAAACCTGGACGCCTCAGCGGCCCAGACCAGTGTCGCTGCGTGGAGGTCAGCGCCGCTGGGAAGGACAAGACCCTTCCCGGCAGGCCTGGGGGGCCGGGCGGCCTGTGTAGTCTCCGCCGTGCATCAGCTGGCGCTGAGGCGGGCGCAAGACTGGGCCCTGCTGCCCCCCGGCCCCCCGCAGCCTGGTCCAGGGCTCAGGACGCCTGCCGCCAACTTGCCTGGACGCCCCAACGTCCAGGCTGGTGCCGCTGCAGCAGGCGACTGCACGTGCCGTGGCGGTGCACGGCCGGGACTCTGTCCCGCTCGGCAGTGACCACCAGGCAGGGGCTGCCCTCATGGGGCACCCGGGCATGCCGCTCTGCAGCTCAGGCCAGTGATCGCCTCGGCCGCTCCCCTCAACCCCCGTGGGGACCCACTCCAGGCCGGCGGCCGGTGTCGCCACTGCTGGGACCCGCAGTAGCCAGGGGCGGCTGCAGCAGGCAACTCCGCAGGGAAGTGGGCCCCGCCGCCTGCTGGGCCGCGAAGCTCAGTGGGCCAGAGCCGGTCGGCCCACTCAGGCCGGAGGGGAGTCGCGGCGGCCGCCTGCCAGTCCCGGCCCCACCCCAGGGGCCGCAGGGTCAGTGCCCGGCCGCGCATCACTGTGGCCTCCGGGTGAGTGTCGCCACAGAAAATAGGGTTTGGGGTGGTAACGGGCACTTAACACACACCCCCTATCCCTAAGGGGAGCGGGCTACAACCCACCATTTGCTTCTGAAGTGTTTTCTAAAGACTCACTGGTGTGGGCGCGAGAGCCAGGCGCAGGCCAGAGATGCAGTGGGGAGCGGCAGGGGTGGGTCCCCTGAAACGCACAGCTGAGGGCGCGGCCAGCAGCCTCACAGTGCTGAGACTGACCCACCGCACCCCAGGGAGGCCTCTGGCAACTGTCCGAGGAAAGCACAGGTGTTAGCTATGCTTTGCAGAAAGCCTCACAGGTGAGAACAAGCCCATGCGTCACCCCACCAGCGGGCAAAAGCCAGCCAGAACTGCGCGGCTGCCGGACGCCTCCCCACGGCTGGGGCTACGGCCACTTTGGAAAGCAGCCTCGAGGTCCGGCCACTGTCAGCAGGTCGGGGAGCCCCGGCGGCGGAAAGGGATGGGCGGCGGGCACCCACCTGCACTCCCAGCCCTGTTGCCCCACAGGCGAAGACTGGGCGTACCCGGGCGATGACCAAGCAGGGCGCGGTCTGTGCAGATGCCAACCAGACCGTGGCCGCCCCGGCAAGGCGCGGCGGGTGGAGCCGCGTGGGCGGCCGAGAACTCCACGCTGGGCCAGTCGGCCTGCGTGGGCCCTGGTCAGGCCCACCCCGAGCGGCAGCACACACACTCCGCCCCACGCCTGGTGGCTCTGCCGACGGGATGCGGACGGCCAGGCCTGCCGGGCAGCAAAGCCGAGGTGTCGTCAGGGCCATGGTGCTGATGGACTCGGGCGTCTGGCCGCCATCGGCCGCAAGACCTGGCATTTCTGGCCTTTTTCCAGCCCACAGGCCACACCCCACTCCTTTCCTGAGCAGCTTTCCTGTGCGCTGAGCCACTGCACGAGACCCCAGGCACCCATGGGCGGGCAGGACAGAGGCGGCTTCCCTGGCACCCGTGGCCCTGGTCTCTGGCAGTCGACCAAGATCACGGCTCCCTGCGCTGCCGTGACCACTGGACAATGCAGCGTCCAGATCCGAAGGCGGAGCGTGGGGCAGCAGCCCCGGGGTGCACAGAGTGGGTCTCACCCCACTGGGCAGCACGGGAAACGGACACCCAGGGCGGCAAGGGCCGGGGCCCCGAGACCCTCCGGGCACGCCTCAGCTTCCCCACACTGGCTGGCCGAGGCTGTTGGCGGCAGAAATGTGAGGCCCTCGGTTACCTGAAAGCAGAAGCGCGGACCACCGCACACTGCTGCAAGCGATCGGCAGAGAAGACGGCAGGGAGAGGTGCGAAGAGACGGAGAGGTTCCCCCAGACCACAGCACTCTGGAGAATTTGGGGTTTTCCCCGTTTTTCTTCACAGGTGTATTTTATGCCTTTGGCACTCCACCCACACGAGAGACTAACACAATACAGAAACCATTTGAAACTACACAATAAAGAAAAAACAAACCTGAGAACCTACAAGAACCAGAAGCTTCACCGAAACACATCTGCTAAAATCCAAGTCCGACGCTGATACAGGATTCTCTCAGGAACGGCCTACCGGGCCACACCTGTCTGCCAACAGCACCCAGCAGGGCCTCACCTCCTCCGCCTTGCCCAGCCCAGCAGGAGCTGCCAGGCACCCCCACCTGCGGGTGCTCACGGAGAGAACAGCCCACGGGTGCGCCCTCTCCGCCTTCAGGGGCGAGAGCACAGCCCCCAGGGAGAAGCACTCCAAGGCGCCAATCAGCAAAGGAGAGGAAGC